GAGTATGGGGGTGATGTGTGCGTGCTTTAGAGGGGAGGGGAAGGTGCCGGTGGAGAGGGAGCAATTGAAGATGTGGGTGAGGGAGCGAATGATGGAGGGGGGGGTGACTGGAGGAGCCGTGAGGGGATAGGGTCCAGGGGGCAGGTGGTGAGGCGGGCTTCAGTGAAGACCTTAGAGACCTCCTCAAGGGTAGTTGGGCTGAAGGAGCGGAGTGTAGGGGAGGTGATGGTGTGCGGGGCATTAGGTATAGTGGGGGGGGGTAGTGCGGCTATGAGGTCGGGGGAGGGGAGGGTTGAGGGATTGGAGGAGGGCGGAAGGCTGGGTGGAGAGGTGGATTGTGAGTTGACAATGTCCTTACGGATTGCTTCAATTTTGTTTTGGAAGTGATTGGCAATCTCGTGGGCGGTGAGTGAGGTGCTGGGTGGAGGTGGTGGGGGGGAGAGAACAGGGATTTGAAAGTGGAGAAGAGCCGGCGAGGACAGGTGGAAAGGGTGTTGATAAGGGTTATGAAATAGGCTTGTTTGGCGGCGTGGAAGGAGGTGGTGTAGGCGAGGTAGGCGGCTTTATAGAGGGAGAACGCGTGAGGGGATCTGGTTTTGCGCCATAAGCGTTCCAGCGCGTGACTGCTTCGTTTGAGGCATTTCGTGTGGTCATTTTTGCCAGGGTTGAAGCGGTCGGGGTCTAATGCTACGTGTGGTTTGGGGTGCCAGGGAGTCAAGGGCAGCTGACAGTGAGTCGTTGTATGCAGTGGTGGCCAGGTCAGGGCATGACAGAGGGAGGATACTGTCATACAGACGGTCTATTTAACCACTTCCAGTCCGGACACTTTTACCCTCTTCCTGTCCAGGCCAATTTTCAGCGCTATCACACTTTGAATGACAATGGCGCGGTCATGCAACACTGTACCCATATGAATTTTTTAGCATTTTTTTGAGACAGATAAAGCTTTATTTTGGTGGTATTTATTTACCACTGGGATTTTTATTTTTTTGCTATGTAAATGAAAATGTCCAAAAATTTTGGAAAAAAGTGTTTTTCTTATAAAATTTTGCAAATAAAATATTTCACCATAAATCTTGGCCAAAATGTATTCCATTATCTTTTTCGTAAAAAAAAAATAAACCAAATTAGTTTATAACCAAAAATTATAATTTTTAAACATTTTTTTTACATTTTTATATTATTATTTATGTTTTTTTTTTTTTTACATATTGTCACCCTAGCAGTACAGTGTCACCATGGTGACACTGTACTACTTGTGGAGGTGATGAAGATTTTTTTTTTTTTTTTTTTTTTTTTTTACACTGTTTGCTTTTACAACCATAAAGGCTGTAAAAGCAATCATTTCTCCTTCCCTTTGGCTGCATTCTTTCAGCCACTGAGAACTACTGTGTGAGCTGTGATTGGTCACACTTGTCACATGGTACAAGGCTGTTGTGAATAGCCTTGTACCATGTGACCTCTGTGATCATTCACAGATTTCACACGTTTTAAGCAGTGATGTCAGAAGTGACATCTTGCTTACTGCTCTTCATGTGATCACTAATTGGCCAATCAGTGATCACATGATCGGGACCTCGCACAGAGGTCTCATCCGACGATCGGTGTTCAACTGAGAGCGCACAAGCAGGGGTGTAGAGGCCATTTATAAGCGGCCAACTGACCCTGCACTGCCTGGCTGTTTATATACAATAGCCGAAGGGGAGGTGGTTAAATAAAAAATACATTTTTAAAAATATATTCTTCAGATTTTTTTTAACATATAAAAAAGTAATTTTACCATATATTTTTTACATATATTTGTAAATGCATACCAAAAATGTAGATTTGTATTTTTAAAGACACACAGTATATTTGAAATGTATTTTTAAAAGTATTTTTCATATATTTTGTAATAAAAACGCATTTCAACATACAGTGTGTGTGTGTGTGTGTGTATATGGCCGAAATTGTAGAATTTCAAATTTATGTCAATATATTTGGGAAGAATATTTTAATTAATATTTCAAATATATTTTTCTTCTATGTGAGTAGATCAATGAGCACCCAGCCTAAGGCAAGTTTTATGTGATTTTTAATAGTTTTTTCAAGTATTATAAATGAATTCCAAAGTTTGGGCCGAGTTTAATTATGTTTAGTAATCTGTCCAAAGTAAATCTCCAAACGGTTACTTCAGGCATAGCTATAAGCATACTAGTCCATTCCACTCCAGTATCTTTGTAAACTGGCAAACGTTTTGCTTACCCGTTTGTCATGCAGTGGAGGTATATCCAAACACAACCAGGGTGCTTTACAGTCACTTACATGGAAAAGAAAAGATCTTCTAAGGTTATGAATCAGATTTAGAACTGCCTTGGAAGTGCAGAAGTATGTTTAAACAAAACATCTCCAAATCTAAAGTTTTGGACTGCACTTAGCTAAACAGCTTGAGTACAATTTGTCAAACAAACAAAATTTGTGTTTAATGCTTGTTGTTTTGTGCATATTATGGATTTATGATACACTGAAAGCTGTACAAAAATTGACAGGTTATATTTCCCTGCTCTATTCAAAAGTGAAAAGTGTATTGACTTTATACACTACACACTCTAAAGCCAGCTTTCACACAGGTGATTTGGTTTTCAGAGGGATATAGAGAAGCTGCTTCCAGGCATTTAGGAGGCAATACTGCTATCTTTTCTGAATGTCTTTTTTTATTTTGTTTCTTTTTGTTTCCTCCAAGGGGGATTTGTATTGAAATACCAAGCAGCTTGCTCTGGGAGCATTCAGCAAGGGGGAGGGCCACAAGCACCGGATGGGAACCTAAGAAGAGGAGGATCGAGGCTGCTCTGTGCAAAAACCATGCACAAAGCAGGAAGTATGACATGTTTATTATCTTTAAAAAAATTAAAGCCTTTAATATCACTTTAAGAAATACCCAGTAAACTGATATCAGAAAGAATGTGGAAGAATACTGCAATTTGCACATTGACTGTTTGTACTGTTTTATTGCCTTATTAGGTCCCCCTAAGTAAGTGTGGATGAGCCCTGATTTACTGTATTCCAGTCTTAGTCTGGAGATAAAGAAAGCAAAAGGGGGATAATAAGTGGGACCCTATTTATTGCTTAATGAACACATTAAAGCAGCAGTATACCTTGGTATAAAATTGGATGAAAACAATTCTTACAAAGCTCTTGATTAAAAATGGTGACTGACTAAATGCTGACTTTTGTCTTGGCCTGCCCATACTAAGGCAGATCTGCCCATACTTGATCGGACTGCATTTTACCTGCTGTTACTTAGTATATACAAGTAGTATATACAATTTTTTGGGACAGAGTAGGAAATGGTTAAAACCAATGTAATTTTTTGCCATCTATATTATACTGAAATATAGAAACATAGAAAAGTGACGGCAGAAAAAGACCGAGCGGTCCATCGAGTCCGCCCATTCCCCCCCCCCCCCCCCCCCCCGAGTATAGATCTATGCTTGTCCCAAGCACGTTTGAAGCTATTTACTATTTTTTCCTTCACTTCCTTTAAACACACAAAAAATGAGCAGAAATCTCTAACAAGTGAGGGAAATGCCCCATTAGCTGTCACCACATCAAGTGGAAGATTCAGCAAATATCCCCATTGGAAACCTTCCAATGTGGACATTATTCTAGTGGCAACTTAACATTTTAGATTTTCTCTCACTTTTAGTCCTGAAACAGTGGTCACCAGGAAGAAGAGTGTGAATTTCCCCAGTGACACTAAAGACAGCACCAAGACAGGGTTGTTAACTCTTCCCCACCGTATAGAAAACTACAAAAAAAAAAAAAAAAAAAAAAGTGTTTTAGTCTTTTGATGTGCTTTAATCAGGACAGACTAATTGCAAAAATGTTACCTTACTCAGTTTGACGTGGGTCTGTTAAAAGCAAATAGTTCTAGGACATGCATAGACCTCTCACATTTAGATGACACATACCCTTTCCATCTGACCCCCAATCCTGTGACAGAAACTGATATATCCTTACCCATCCCCCTTCCGTTAGATGTTGTGACTGAAAAACCAAGCCCAGGTTTGGACATTCATTACTTTTCAGACCTATACCTCCAAAAGATAAGCAGTTCTCTGAGTAGTGCTAAGAACGAGTGATAAGAAACATATTTTAGAAGTACGTGTACAAATGATCTGAAATATTTTCAAGTAAAACAAACCATTCATTCATATACATATTGCCTCATAGGCCAAATGTACAAATTGTAGATTTGTGTGAGCTTGTACCTTGTTAGAATCATCAGCTGCTTTACTCTCAGAAATGTCTTTTACTCTGGTAAATGCAGACATGTGCTCAGCAGTAGCACAGAAGCTGATCCTGATACTGGCAGCTAATAAATATGGTCCAAGTTATCTTTGATGACTGGAGCAAGGAAATAGAGAGTGCTTAGACTTGTTTTAGCCACTTGGCAATATAGCTACTACATGTTTGGTGGAAAAATCCACCCATCCCAATTTAAAAGGCAATCCCCAAGACTAAAACCAAGGAGACACTGGAGTGGAGAAACCTGCACTGTGATCTCGCAGACTACACCCTAGACAGGTGTCTGCCCTGCCTAACCCTACTCTTGGCTCTGCATATATGGTAACCATTATCTCAGCCAATAGTAATACATTTCACAGCAAAACAATACAACTTGTTTTGGGAGGGAGTGGGAAATGTAAAATGACAGTCTGTTATATTATCTGTAGAGTTTTGAAAGAAATCAATCATCCTGAAGTCTTGGCAGGAATCTGTAAAATCCTTTAGGTTGCAAATATCTTCAAAACAAATGTATAATAGCCCCAACGGCTAAGTCAGACACCTGGTATTTCAGCGAGCGCAACAGTCTTTTACTCTCCCTTCTTGGAAAAAAAACAGGATAGCCAACAAAAGTTTTGTTGGTAAGAGCCAAAACGATCTGGTCCAAAATCTTCACAAGAAATAATGTGAATATTGTTCATAAAACCGACAATACAGTGATATAGAAATCCTGATCAAATCTCAACATCACTTTCCTTGTCATTGTCATGATCTCCATCGTAAAATTCATTTGAAGCTTCCGCCCTAAAAAAAAGGCAATGTGACAAGTGAGGAATAACATTACCATGCACATTTTTTTTGTAAGAAAACATTTATGAAAGGGTTTTTTCTATTACACCTAAAACCTGTCAAAACCTGGGAGTTTAACTTAAAGCAGAGCGCCAGTCAAAATGTAAAAAACAGACAAGACACTCAAATGTCCCTCGATCCAACGGTGTCCTCTCCGCAGCCGGGTTTTACCGACCATCCTCTTTCCCCGGCATCTTAAGTACGGGCACCCGGCTACGACAACTTGTGGCTTCACAGACGAGTGCCCACTGCGCCTTGTGAATTGCCCCATTGTCTTCTTGGACACCCCGAGCAAAAGGCAAAAAAAAAAAAAAAAAAAAAAAGTGCCACAACTTAACCACTTGCCTACTGGGCACTTATACCCCCCCTTCCTTACCAGGCCAATTTTCAGCTTTCAGCGCTGTCGTGCTTTGTATGACAATTGCACAGTCGTGCAACATTGTACCCATATGACATTTTTATCATTTTTTTCACACAAATAGAGCTTTCTTTTGGAGGTATTTACTCACTGCTGGGCGTTTTATTTTTTGCGCTATAAACAAAAAAAGAGCAAAAAATTTGACAAAAAAAAGGTTTTCTATGTTTTTATTATAAAATTTTGTGAACAGGTAATTTTTCTCCTTCACTGCTGTGCATTGCAGAGGCTACACTGATAGGCAGCACTGATGGGCACTGATGAGATGGCACAGATAGGCGGCACTGATAGGCACTGAGATGGCACTGATGGGTTGCACTGCTGGGCTCTGGTGGACACAGGTGGGTGGCACTGCTGGGCACTGGTGGACACAGGTGGGTGGCACTGCTGGGCACAGGTAAGCTGCACACATGGGCAGCACTGCTGGGCATCGATCATCAGGGTACTGATCATCAGTGCCGATCCCTCCTCTGACAACTGCCCGTTTCTCGGTAGTACTTTCCTCACGCTGTGACAGCGTGAGGAAAGTGCAGCCAATAACCGGCAACTGCATTTCTCGGTGATCAGTGTGTCATTAGACATGGCTGATCACGTGGTAAAAGACCGCTGTGATTGGCCTTTTACCATATCATGTGAACAACTGTGTCCGTAGGACACAGTGATCATGGAAATCACTGGGGGTGTACCCCCAGGGACGTGCAGGAGAGCACATTCTGGGAGGACGTCATATAACGCCCCCCCAGAACTGGCCGGCGCAGTGAAGACGTCATTCGGCTATCTGAGGTCGGCAAGTAGTTAAAAAGCAGGTAAGCGGAACATCCTGCTTTTAACGTTTACATGAATCTTAACAATAAACCTTTATTTGCCTCCGTTTGGTCTGTTAAATATACAATTAAAATAATTTTGTTATATCTGTTTTTTAGGTGCGAAAGAAAAAATACCCATCGATCTTGTCAGAAATTCAGAGGTGCCTTGTGCTTTCTCTGCTTGTGCAGAAGAGAGACCATTTAGCCCTTCCCATACTTATGTTGAACTACATCTCAATTAGTCCATGCTGTGGATAAGAAGACAATGGGAGTGGTTCAGTTGTATAGCAAAACATAATAGGCAGGACTGACACCACTCAGTACACTAAAAAAAAAAATGCTGCGTGTTGTCAATCCAGTAAAGGAAATTGACAGATCAACAGGCATTTTTCCTGCACTTACAGGGTCTTTATGTGGCAAATATGCATGTATTGCAAAATTGTACTGGATATCAGGCAATTTTTTGATACTATTCGCTACTAGGCAACTATTTTCCAACAAGCCAATAATACTCTCACGCATTTTAATGGGATCATTTTCAATCAATAATGTATAAATCACATCTCATAACTGCAATTATTGCAGCATAAAGGATATATTCCACTCTGTAAAGATGAAGTTACTATTGGTGAATGACTACAAGAATCCATATTCCAAAATGCTGTGGTGGTGGGGGGAGAGTATTTACCTTGTGTAATTGTCCTCGGAGCCTCTCTCTTCTGGATCAGGCTCATCAGTGCGGTCATAGCTCAGGAGATCTGAAGGTACATCATGGATCTGAACACTGGGTGCATGGTTCAGCATCTTCAGATTTTCAAAAATTGTCTGTCTGATTTGATCCAAATACTGTATAAAGAAGTGATAAGAATGCAACTGTTAAATTGAAACTATAATGGAAACTGTATTTGTTTTTGATCAACCATTACAAATAAACATTTACAACATAATGCTTCAATAATCATTTACTTTGCAGAGCATGCTGGTCTTTCGAACACAAAAATGCACAAAAAACTATTTTATTTCACTAGTTTTCTCCAAATATTCGTAGAGGTGCACATAAATTAACAGACAAGTAAATAGGTATGCTCATTTGTTCACTTTGTTTAGCTGTGTGTGCCATGAGTAGACCTATACAGCACAAAACCTATTTATACCATTTATTTACAGCATAATAAAAATGTGGAGTCGGTGATGTATAGTAGGACACTTGCACATTACAAATTTTATTAATGAATTTAGTATTTTACTTACAGCTCTTCTGATCAAATATGTTGATCAGTAATTATGCATACCCATATTAATAGCACATCAACAAGCATTTGCAGAATGAGAGGTCAATAATGGAATCAATATTTCCCTTAGGAAAGTTTTCCATTCAGATAAATTAGAAAGATCTGGATTTGCCAACCCTTTTATGACCAGAGGTTTTCTAAGTGGCCAGCCCAAAAAGGATCAGCAGCAGTTAACTTAAACACTTGTCCTCCAGAGGATTTACCACCCCTTCCTGACCAGGTCATTTTTCGTGATACAGAGCTACGTTATTTTACCTGACAATTGAGGGTCATGCAGCACTGCACCCAAATTAAATTTATATTCTTTATTTTGGTGGCATTTGATCGACTGTGGCGTTTTTAAATTTTTTGCACTGTAAACTAAAAAAGACTGACAATTTTGAGAAAAATACCAAATATTTTTGACTTCTGGCTATTAACCGCTTGCCGCCCTGGCACTGTATATATATATGTGTGCAGGGCGGCAGTGGAGCGCAAAAGCACGTTTTAAAACGGGCTCCGCGCTCCCGACACTTTCGCGGGTAGGGGGCGCGCGCGCGCTTAGCGCGCACGCTCCCGCCGACCCGTGGGTGACACGATTCGATCCCGGAGGGATCAATCATTAGATTTCAGCCAGTGATTTCTGGCTGAAATCAGATGATCGGTCCCTGTTCTATCCTGTCCTGTGTTGACATTTACACAGGGCAGGATATGATGTAATTCTTCTCTGCCTGGACACATTCCGTTCCAGACAGAGAAGAAGAAACATTTAAGCGTGAGTAAAACAGCACACTGACAGTTAGAACACTCTAAGAGGACACATTTAACCCCCTGATCGCCCCCCCCCCCCAGTTAACCCCTTCACTGCCCTGTCACCAGTGTCACTGATCAGTGAAGCGATTTTTACTGATCACTGTATCAGTGTCGCTGGCTACTGCTAGCGCCCCTCCCAGATAGCGCCAGTTTGCCCGCCAGTACACCAATAAAACCGTTTAACCCCTTAATTCCCCCCCCCCCCCAGTTAACCCCTTCACTGCCCTGTCACCAGTGTCACTGATCACTGAAGCGATTTTTACTGATCACTGTATCAGTGTTGCTGGCGACTTCCGATAGTGTTAGCGCCCCTCCCAGATAGCGTCAGAATGCCTGCTAATACACCAGTAGTCCCGTCTAACCCCTTGATCGCCCCCCCCCGAGTTGACCCCTTTACTGCCCTGTCACCAGTGTCACTGATCAGTGAACCGATTTTTACTGAACACTGTACCAGTGTCACTGGCGACTTCCGTTAGTGTTAGCGCCCCTCCCAGATAGCACCAGATTGCCCGCTAATACACCAGTAATCCCGTCTAACCCCTTGATCGCCCCCCCCCCCGAGTTGACCCTTCACTGCCCTGTCACCAGTGTCACTGATTAGTGAACCAATTTTTACTGATCACTGTATTAGTGTCGCTGGCGACTTCCAATAGTGTTAGCGCCCCTCCCAGATAGCGCCAGTTTGCCCGCCAGTACATCAGTAATCCCATTTAACCCCTTGATTGCCCCCCCCCCCAGTTAACCCCTTCACTGCCCTGTCACCAGTGTCATTGATTACAGTGAGCAGATTTTTACTGATCACTGTATTAGTGTCACTGGTGACTTCCAATAGTTTTAGCGCCCCTCCCAGATAGCGCCAGTTTGCCCGCTAGTACACAAATAATCACATTTGACCCCTTGATTGCCAGGAACGCGCTTACATTTTGGCTTAAATTTATGACTAACTTTGAGTTTACGATATATTTTTTATAGCTGAAAGTAGAAAATATTGTTTTTTTTTTCAAAATTTTCGTGTTTTTTTTTGTTTATAGCGCAGAAAATAAAAAGTGCACAGGTGATCAAATACCACCAAAACAAAGCTCTATTTGTGTGAAAAAAAGAACGTAAATTTCGTTTGGGTACAGCATTGCATGACCGCGCAATTATCATTTGAATTAGTGCAGCGCTGTATAGCAAAAAAAGGCATAAATTACAGTATCTATACCATAGTTTGTAGACGCTATAACGTTCACACAAAGCAATCAATATACACTTATTGGGATTTTTTTTACCAAAAACATGTAGCAGAATACATTTTGGCTTAAATTTATGACTACCTTTGAGTTTACGATATATTTTTTATAGCTGAAAGTAGAAAATATTGTTTTTTTTAAAAATTTTCGTTTTTTTTTTTTTGTTTATAGCGCAGAAAATAAAAAGTGCACAGGTGATCAAATACCACCAAAAGAAAGCTCTATTTGTGTGACAAAAAAGGACATAAATTTCGTTTGGGTACAGCATTGCATGACCGCACAATTATCATTTGAATTAGTGCAGCGCCAAACAGCAAAAAAAGGCCTGGTCATTAAGGGGGGTAAATCCTCTGGAGTTCAGGATGCTACAAGTGGTTAAACATGTCCAGTAAAAAAATACAAACATTTTGTCATAAATTTAGGCCAAAATTTATTCTGCTACATGTCTTTGCTAAAAACAAATCCCAATACGTGTAAAATAATTGGTTTACATGAAAGTTACAGAGTACAAACGGAGGTATATATACTGGAATTTTTTTCCATTACTAGCAATGGCGGCGATCAGCGACTTATTGCGGGACAGCAACGGGCTTTCTGACACTGGGAGGGGAGACTGACTGTCACTGACATCCCCAGTGACACTAATACAGTGATCAGTGCTAATAAAAAGCACTGACACTGTATTAATGACACTGGGAAGAAAGGGGTTAACATCTGGGGCGATCAAAGGTTTAACTGTGTGCTGTTTTACTGTGTGTCAAACACATTGCTGTGTATTGTTTACATGAAGGTCTCTCCCCAGTAATTGATACTTGGTGAATGCCGGCGTGGAATCACAGGCTGGGACCCGGTGATCGACAGCTGAATCCGCCAATGGCGGCGCGGGTAGGACACGCACCCCCTACCCGGAAATGCAAAATCACGTGTATATACACGTGATTTTGCGCAGCTCTGCTGCCCTGCTGCAGCACTTCTGCTATAGGGCGGCGGGAAAGCGGTTAAAAAAAAACTTTATAACAGTAGATTTAGGAACGAGGAACACATACAGCTGCATATACCTAGCTCCTTGCGGCAAGGTTAATTAATGTTTTCTTGGCAAGAAGCGCTTTACATTTGGACTTAAAAAAGCCATATTGCATTCACAAATGGGGTTTTAAATACAGTCATCTGCAGGCAAAGCATTGATATGGACAAGTGATTTCTGAGACAAATCAGAAATTAAAACATTATTATTATTATTATAATACAGGATTTATATAGCCCCAACAGTTTGCTCAGCACTTTATAATATAAAGGAAGACAATAAAACAATGATACAGTTCAATAAAAGAGGGTCAGGAGGGTCCTACTCCAAGAAGCTTACAATCTGAGAGGAAGGGGCTAGTGGTAAAAAAGGTAATAACTGTGGGGGATGAACTGATGGGAGAAATAGAAGATTCCGATATTAGCTGAAGGCAGGATAGGCTTACCTGGAGAGATAGGTTTTCAGAGATCACCTAAAAGTGAACAGAGTAGGCAATAGTCGAATAGATTGGAGTAAAGAGTTCCAGAGAATGGGGGAGGCTCTGGGGAAGTCCTGGAGACGAGCATGGGAGGAGGAGACAAGGGAGCTAGAGAGCAGGAGGTCGTGGGAGCAGCAGAGAGGATGGTTTGGGTGATATTTGGATTGGTGATGTAATTGGGGGCAGAGTTATAAATGGCTTTACATGTTAACATTTTGAATTTTATTCATTGGGCAATGGGAAGCCAGTGGAGGGATTGGCAGACATGGAACGGTTGGTAAGGTGGATGAGTATGGCAACAGTATTCATGATACACTCAGCTTATCCCCTGAACAATGAGGTCAACGTCCAATTTATTGAAAGTATTTCTGTGGTAAATAGTACTAAAGGCTAGTCAGCTAGGGGAAAAAAAAAAATACTTCCATGGATTTTCATGTTCAATGTCTGATTGCACATTAGAATTTTTTTTGCAGGGTAGACAAAAATGCCAGAACCTTACCTGTCGTGTATTCTGATTCTCAATTCTAGTGCTGACATCAGGGTGGAGGGTAAAATCTGGTGCAAAATATTCAAAATATTCTAAAAAAAAAAAAAAACAAAAAAAAAAAGTCAAGAAAGTTAATATAATGTGAACAGTTTCATACGCATCTTGTCTTTTCAGAACAATGAAGAGAAAGATTTTTATAAACTAACAAACACTGACCACTGTAAGGCAGCTCTTCACTGATTGTCTCGTCAACTAGCAGTGATGTTTCATACGTCCTGCAACCAGAACAAATTGAACTGGATCATTCATTCTATAATGTATATAGTTAGTTCTCACAAAGCTGTTTAATCCCCCCATGTGATATGTTTAATCAACCATTTTCAAGCCTCAAACTTTTAAGGCTATCACAATGTTTAAAAATGGCATTAGTAATAGGAATACAATATTAAACTGGCACTGGGGCTAGGATTTTCCAGGTGCTAATAAGTTGGACATACGCATCAGTATATAACAAATTGCTTTTATTATTACAAAAGTTATAAAACAATGCATAAAACAGGCTTAGCGCTTAGTCAAATAGTTAAAGAGGAACTTCCTTCATTGTTTTTTTTTAATCTGTAGATAAAAATACTGAAGCTGCTGACTTTTAAAAATCACGTAGTTACCAGCACCTGGAATTCAGGGCTGTCGTCTCTCAGCCAATTCTTTTTTTTGTTGTGGGTTCCCGGCGCCACCATCTTGGACATTCAGGTACCCCAACAAGCAGCCTTTTATTGACACAACATATAGAACTTATCTAGGTGAAGACTGTGGAAGTGGGAGCTGGTAGTGATAAAATATATAAAAAAAAATATTTTAAAAATCGGTACTCAATTTTCCCCTCACCCGAAAAAAACTTGTAGCTCAGTTATAAGCTGGGGGGGAAGGAGCAAACCAGGGTACTTTACTTTGAGTAAAGATTTTAATAATAGATTACAAAATTGACTACACACACATGTAGTACACTCAAGTATCCCAACAGGAAGCCTTTTATAGACACAGTATATAGAACTATTATATCACATTGTAATATGCTGATTATTCTGATTGGGTAGGGATGATGCTCTACGCATTTCACGGATCACACAATATGTTTCATCAGGAGATGTGGAAATCTTGTATGCGTGTTGAACAATGTACAAACATAGATAAAAATCCCCAACACAGATGCCTTTCAGAGGCTAGAGAGGATTTAAAGGAAGACATCCAGCAAAAAGAGAACTACTCTTCCAGAGAGGGTCTGACTAACTTACTATACTACCTCAAGACAGGAGGCACAGAGTTAAGTGTAAAGCATATCTTTACACTCGCCTCACCCTGATCCAAAGATCTCATAATCTGGAATTTTCTCTTAGTAATCCATGCACCAGATTATTAATTTCAACCACAATCTTCCCATAAAATTATATGTGCATTTTATGTATTTTAGGCATATTACTTACCTGTAACAGGTTCCATTGTGTAGGTATTAGAAAGCCCTGAGAATGCTGCTTGATATTGCCAGTTTGGATGTGCTGACAGAAGCCCCAGCAGACTACGAGGTATCACTAAAGTGACACTATGTAGTATTTCCTTTTGCTCCTCCCCCAGGTACTACATAAAGTGTTAAGCAGGGAGGTGGAGAGAGGGTTGGATTTGCTGGGTCATACGAAAGAAGTGTAAGACATACAAGGGAGGGGCTATACTAAGACTTGACTCTTTCTGGAGTAGTCAATTTTCCAGTAAGTTCATTGCAACTGAATAAAAATATTTTAAGGAATGGAAAAACGTTGTAGGTAAGCATTTAAAATTCTTTATTTTTCTGTGATTTTGCCTTCAACGTTATTCTTTTTTATTGGTGACAGGGTCTCATCCAGTATTCCAACATTTAGATTTTCCAGCTTTGTTTGTAAAACCAGGTTTCCTCCTATAGTCTGAGGAACTGAAGCTACTTACCAGCACCGTGCTACATTGCGAACTGTATAACCACCTCCTCCAAGCACTAGTAAAGGAATATTGAAGCTTTTCACATATTGAACACAATCCCTACAGGGAAGAAAAAACAGAGTTAGACAGGACCCCCATGAACTCTGTTTTACAAGGCTTAGACCAAGCTTTAACTAAATCAACTTTGGAGGAACTGCATACAAAGAGGAGAAAAAAAATGATGTGGGAAACATGAAAAACATGCTCTGTAATAAAGTAGGTGTGTGCTAGCTGTTTGCTATTAAACATATCTAGGTAAAAACTGTTAACTAAACAGTCTGTGAAAAAAAATACACATAATTCTGCACCCAAGAGTGACAAGACTGCTGCTGTACACTGGTAGGTATACACACATGCACACTTACATATGTGTACAGGAGTGGACGACCCTGGATGTTAACTGTCTAACAAGGGTACACATCTATCCTTGAACACATAAAAATTTGGAGGTATGGTCATCAGCATAAAGTCACAGCCTGTCAAGGCTTTACAAAAGCAGCTGTACGCAAACACCTGTCACTCCGATGTGAGTGCTAAAGAATTTTAAAACAGATTCTCCAGGGAATTAGTTATGTTTTTCTGCTAACTGCCAAGCCCGCAATGTCATGGAAATGTCAAGCCCACAACATATTGACGATGCAGTGATGCAGTCACTGTTCAATCAACAATTTTCCACCCAGCTTAAATTTTTGAATCTATGTTTGTTGAGCCAGTTGGTGCTGACATGGCCACCCACAATAGAATTTCGGCAAATTCAGCAGGAATTGGTCAAAATTCAAGTCATGTATGACCAGCTTTAGTGTGCCTCTGTGGCTACTCTCACTTCTCTGCTGTATCTATGAAGGCAGTTATGGCTGTCCAACAGACTGGATGTCTGCCTTTGTTCATCCCCATTACAAAATAGTTGATGGGATTAGTAGTCTACACATGATAGATAATGTAGTTTTTTTTCTGGATTTTCAGCTCACATTTTTTTTTAGCTGACAAAGACACTGCATTTCTGACAAGATCAACAGGTATTTTCAGGACTTGCTGAAAAAAGTAATGCAGCCCCCACATCTAAGGCTGGTAGACTGAAATATTTGTTTTTTTTTATTTCTATACATCTATATACATCTTATCAATCTCCCCTACTACTATTAACAGTATTTACTAAGAGGGTAGTTACATTCCGTCAAGATATTCTTGATCCCTTTTGCTCTAGCACTGGAAATGGTGAAAGAGCATAAGGGATTCAAGTAAGTGCAGATAGGAGTGCTTATGCTTTGTAATAGTTTGAGGAATCCTGATCACTGGTTATCATCAAGAGGTGCAAAATGATTTGGGCATATGCTGCTAAAACAACAGGACATAAAATACAAAATAAATCTACTTTACCCATGGCCCCTTATACTCAAGTTAAAACATCCAAGTCGGTCACAGCCAAGCGAGTCAGCTCCACACTAGAAATAAGCAAACATCCATATACACATAATGTGACTATTGCAGATTAAAATGACCTGAAAACCACACTGTAAAACTACTTACAGGCTCACAGCTCTGCTGCCATTTCACCTTTTTCACATTTGCACAAAACATAAATACTCAAGAATGGTAGCAAGAGTGAGTTCATCCCATTTACAAGCTCAAATTATAAACATTCAGATATAGAAAAAAAAAAAATGAACACACACATACAATATATCACAAATAAAATTGATAATAATGATAATCATAATGTCCATGTTAAAAACACAGCAGCGCTTTCTGAATGTAGTAGATGGATAAAAACAGATTTAATGAATTAATAGAGCAATTCATAAGAAAAGAGTATTAATTTGCATATCACATAAGTAGCCTCCCTGCGGTTTACTCAGATCCAGACCGCTGCAGGCATCATGACCCAAGGGCCGCTCAGGCGCACTTTTGGTTTCCACAGCAGAGAGGCTACTTATGTGATATGAGAGTTTATACTCTTTTCTTGTGGAAAAAAAAAAAAAAAAGGTTTTCATGTTGTTATACCACAAAGTGACTCAATCAGGGGTACCTTTACTCAAAGCACACTCTGTAGAAGTTCTAAAAATCTACCTTTTAGAAGCCCATTTGTTGAAACACCTCGGATTTAGCTTCCCCCAGCTTCAGACAGTATAGCACGCTACCGGGTATGTAGAACACTATCCTGCCATAAGCTGTGGTTCTTCCCTTTGGCTCATGCATTGCTACATGACATTTGAGCCAATGGGAGAATCCCACAGCTTGTGGAAGAAGTAACAGGTGTTCAACTCATCTTACCAGTTAAATAGGTGGCATAGCCATTACTCCAACAGCATGGCATGGTTTCTCTTGTCACCATACATCTTCTAGTGATGTATAAGCTGAAGGACAGAACAACAGCGTGTGTGGTGGAGGAAGCAGGTATTCTACTTACTCAGAAGTGTGAAATACCTAGGGGGAGGAGCAGTAGCATGGGGCCGTGAGCAGCGTGGCCGTGAGGTCAGGAACACTGACCTACTGTTGTGCAGCATGAGGCAATCATGAGGACCATGTAGTGAAGATTTTCACTTACCTGGAACTTGGGACCAGACAGCAGAGCTGAGCTGGGGGACATTTGGGATCAATGTTTGTGGTGAAGGCGGTGCAGAGCAGGTCGGTGAGAGGTGCAGGGGGGGGCCATGAGCAGCTGCAGATTGGAAGCAGCAGTGGGTGAATGGACGGAGAGGGACAGAGAGTGAAAGGGACCTTGGAGCAGGAAGAGAACTCAATAGGTGTCCGGAGACTACCTGCATGCTAGGGGAGAGCCAGTGTAGAAAACACAGGTCCTGCTTGTCAGCTCCAGTATAACTCCAGTGAAACTTCTAAAGTACTATTATGGACACACCATATATTGATACTCCTGCTTAGTTTTGGATCTGGCTCTAATATGCAACTCAGTCCTTGGAGAACCACAGGTCACAGCAGTCCATATTATTATATCTCCGGTTACTGAAGATCTATAGGTCCCAGTACCCTATATTTGCACCACTCCTGTATTTGGAAAACTATAAGTTTCAGCGATCTATACCTGAGTCTTCCCGGTCTCTGGAGGACTACAGGTCTCAGCTTACCTTATGTAAACCCCAGTATAATTCCTAAAGCACTGTTATGGATATACACATATCACTACTCCTGTTTAGTTTTGGGTCTGGTTCTAAAACTTAATACAGTCCTTGGAGAACTACAGGTCACAACGATCCATATTACTATCCCTCCGGCTACTGGAGTACTACAGGTCCCAGCACTCTATACTTACACCATTCCTGTTCTTGGAAAACTAAGTCTCAGCGATCTATACCCGAGTCTTCCCTGTCCCTGGAAGACTGCAGGTCTCAGCATACCGTATATAAACTCCAGTCACTAGAGTCTCATGCTGATATCCCGCTTGTTGCTGAAAAAACTACAAGCCCAGCGCTTCATATGTGTATCTCGCCTGTCCTTAGAAAAGCATAGGCTTCAGTGTTTTATATGTGTATTTCATCTGGCTTTGGAAAATTATAGCTTATTGCATGAAACCACTATATAAACACAAACACACAGATGAAATATATGTTCTGGTAAAGAGAGATAATAAAAAGTACTATAGCAGCCCCTAGTGGGTGTGTTGAAAAAGAGCATATAGAAAGGAAACTTTGTATAATAGAACGGTGGTGTCAGGAATGGACTTGCCAGTAATGGTGGGACTCACCTGCCTTGTGGGCTGCAGTACCAGGGCTGGCCAGCGGGTGCTCTCAGCAATCAGAGACTCAACCCTGCAGTCAGCCAAAAACCTGAAGCTGATTACGGAGGTGTATTTAAGGGATGGCCAGACCTGCAGTCTGGGCCTTGGTGTGTGTTTTTCCATGGGCCCCTGTATCTTGTAACCTGTGTTCCTGTTCCTGCCTCTGCCTGACTTGTTGCCGACCCTGCTTGATCCTGACCTCTGCTAACTTCTCCCGTTTTGATCCCTGGCATGTGACCCTGACCATTCTCTCCGCCTGCTCCTCCTGTACCTACCTGCCCAATAGTTATCGACCCGGCCTGCCTGATTACGTTGTGCTCTATATGTGTATGTACCTGTGTACCTGTATCAGTTTAGGTTTGGGTTTGTTTCACCTTGTTGTATGTATTTGTGTTAGCTTGGGGTTTGGTGCACTGCGTTTATGTTTGTATTGTTAGTCTTTAATAAATTGTCTTATTGTTTATAACATATCTGAAGCCTGCGTTTCCCTGCGTCAGTTCACATACCTCTGGTCATACCCGGAGCCCTGACATTACACCAAGGCCAATCCTGACCAGAAGTGGCTGCACAGGGAAGCCATCTTGGCTTGTTCCTGGGAAGGATGGATCTTGATGAGGTTGTGTATTTGTCTGTTGGTTTTTCATGACAGAGAATATGCTTATCAGACTCTGAGGGAGTATACCCGGGATCAACTGTTAGAATGTATACGGATCGCTCATGTTCTAGTAGATCAGGGCACAGAGTTCTCTGAGGTGCAACCTTTGATTCGGGTTTGTGTAGAGTTGGCTTCATCTGGTACCCCTGAAAGCAGGAATGACTTTTTGCCACCATTTAGTGCAGAGCAGGTAGAGTCCCTGGTATGGTTATTAGAGGATGATGTGGATTGCTTCTTGGAGCATTATGCTGCATGTTCACCACAGGTATTAAGGGATTGTATAAACGCAGTGCAGTCTTTGACCAGACAGGCTTTGTGTAAGCTCAGCTTTGTTCAACCCATACTGCAGACATGGTCAGACTTGTTGCACCCAGCCTGAGTCAGCTTGCAACGTCATTCCTCTGCTCAAGGCACTCTTCCTTTATCCCCGACAGCACCCCCAGTGACGGCCCAGTATACTCTGCTAACTACCACATACCAGTCCCCTGCTCCCACTCGCTGCACCTATCCTTTCTTTGGCCCTGTGGAGAGGTCCTCTGTGGCGGCTGCTCCCTCCTCTCTTCCATCTTCCAGCTCTTCTCTGTCCACAGCTGCTCCATTCGTTTGCAGACCTGCGTTTACTTGCAGTGCACCAGTAGTTTAAAACCAGAAAAAAAGCGAAAATTCTTTCCAACCAGTACCATCCTGCCAGTATCCAAACCGGTGAGCCTGCCGTCTGAGAACCTGCCTTCCGTGGTTCAGCCTGGTGCCTCGGCACCCGCACTTCAGCCTGATGTCTCTACCCAGCCTGATGTCTGTACCCAGCCTGATGAACTGATCCAGCCTGATGATCCTATCACGCCTGATGACCCAGTGCCCGCTGTCATACCTGGTGACCTGATGCCTGCTGTCAGGCCAGACGATCCGGTACCTGATGACCCGGTGCCCGATGTCATACCTGATGACCCGGTGCCCGCTGTCATACCTGGTGACCCGGTGCCCGCCCGCTGTCGAGCCAGACGATCCAATGCCTGATGACCCAGTGCCCGCTGTCATGCCTGCTGACCCGATGCCCGCTGTCGAGCCAGACGATGCAGCGCCAGATGACCCGGTGCCTGCTGTCGAGCCAGACGATCCGGTACCTGATGACCCGGTGCCATCTGTCGTGCCAATTGACTCAGAGCCCACTGTCGTGCCTGGTGACTCGGTGCCCACTGCCTTGCCAGATGACGCGGTGCCCACTGCCTTGCCAGATGACGCGGTGCCCGCTGTCGAGCCAAATGACCTGATGCCTGGTGACCCGATGCCCTCTGTCGAGCCAGACGATCCAATGTCTGACCCAGTACCCGCGGTCATGCCAGTTGACTCGGAGCCCACTGTCGTGCCTGGTGACTCGGTGCCCACTGCCTTGCCAGATGACGCGGTGACCGCTGGTGAGCCAAATGATCTGATGCCTGGTGACCCAGTGCCCGCTGTCATACCTGGTGACCCGATGCCCACTGTCGAGCCAGACAATCCAATGCCTGATGACCCAGTGCCCGCTGTCATGCCTGGTGACCCGATGCCTGCTGTCGAGCCAGACGATCCAATGCCTGATGACCCAGTGCCCGCTGTCATGCCTGGTGACCCGATGCCCGCTGTCGAGCCAGACGATCCAGGGCCAGATGACCCGGTGCCTGCTGTCGAGCCAGACGATCCGGTAGCTGATGACCCGGTGCCCGCTGTCGTGCCAATTGACTCAGAGCCCACTGTCGTGCCTGGTGACTCGGTGCCCACTGCCTTGCCAGATGACGCGGTGCCCGCTGGCGAGCCAAATGACCTGATGCCTGGTGACCCGATGCCCGCTGTTGAGCCTGACGATCCAATGTCTGACCCCGTGCCCGCGGTCATGCCAGTTGACTCGGAACCCACTGTCGTGCCTGGTGACTCGGTGCCCACTGCCTTGCCAGATGACGCGGTGCCCGCTGGCGAGCCAAATGACCTGATGCCTGGTGACCCGATGCCCGCTGTTGAGCCAGACGATCCAATGTCTGACCCCGTGCCCGCCCGTGTCATGCCAGTTGACTCGGAACCCA